AGCGAATGAAGAAAAATTCGTCAATCCCATCATACCAAACGATATACCAACAAACAAATTCTTCAGAATACCTGCACGACGTGCTTCGAGCAGTGCCACCTTGTACCTGAAAAGGGCAGTCATAGATCAGCCCTAACTTATAGGACCCCTCTAGCCTCAAAAAGCTGCACGAGTACAAGGCGAAAAGACGGGCTATCGGGAGGACTTCAGCCAGCTAATTCTCCATAGTGACCCCTATGACCCCACAAGAGGCATTGGAGCTCTGGTTTCATACTAGTCATCCGGAAGCATCGCTTTTCGGTGGAAGACGAACTTTGAAGGTGGGTCTTTGGGCGGAGACACTGGAAAAAGGGAGGTGTCACTGGGGCAAGCTCTGCGCCTTACCTCCTTTACCTTTCAACTTTCCACCGCAAAAGGTTCACATTAGTGTCCAGTACGAATACTACCTTTCTCATGCACCCTTTTATATTTTCATAGGTGACCAGAGCTGTTTCTTTGAAGGATTTTTAGTGAGAAATGGGATTGCGAAAATGGAGGAGACAATCTTTGCCTACCGTAAGAATGTGCCATTTTTCAGGATTTGGTCGAGCGAAACGCAAACTGTACAAGAACGTACTTTCTAAGTTTCAGAAGGGAGGGGAGGGTTGCGTGGGTGAACTCAGTTCAAGCACGGTAATTATATTCGAAAGGCAATGATCCCAGCTCTGTATAAGGGGTTTTCCTAATGCGCTACAGGGTTATTAGCGCTTGATTTAGTAATCTTGCTGATTTACCTGGCAATTTCGTAGCGAAGACCATTCAGAGAGCACACCGTACGTATAGATGACACTGTTTGCTCCACAATTTTACCGGCTTTAGCATACTTGATGGTTCTCAGCGATTGTGAATGTCGACATCGACTGAAAGAATCGTTGTGGTATGTGGGAATGAAGGAGGGTTCTTAATCTTCATTTTTGCCATATTTTTTCGCTTTTTTTCTCACTGCCTACCACTTACGGATACCATTTTCTTTTACGACCGATAACCAACTACCTCTGAAGTCTTGTTGAATTACTACTTCAGTTTCACCTAAATTAAGAAGCTTACCTTAGAAATCGCGAATCCACAAAGGGCCTGCAGAGGTGTTACAGCTAAGCATAACGAGGGTTAACCTCCAACTGTGTGTAAATGCAATGATAAAACCTAAACATTACTCATGAAGAAGTTCAAGAAAACCTTAGTAGCAGAACCAAAAGAAATATGCACAAGAAAGTTAAAAGCTTAGCAAGGAATCCTGGAATTACGTTGTAAACCTATTACGCACTGTTATCAAATGGCATATAATACTGGAATAAGTAAGCCCAAAATTTTATCTCCAGTCCTTCTTTGATCGTTCAGATACTTGAAAAGTGAACACATTTGGTGAAAAAAGTGGCGATGCAGATTATATCGTGAAAATTAGCCGAGAGTGATAGAACGAGCCAACCCACTACGTTTTCTAGCACTTTTTCTTTCTTTCCTGATTTTTCTTTTCCTTTTCTTTTTCGGTCACTGAGCGATTCCGTGCTGGTAGCGGAAGGCCCATTCCACCTTGGCTTACTGAAGGCAGTCAGGGTGGACTCATCCCACCTTGATTTTGGCTCGAATTTAGGAGAGTGGGAGAGTGAGGAATAAATAATTCCAATGGCTAATTTGACGCCAAAGCGCTACATGAGCCAGGGCAACTGGCCATGGAACTCCAGGCTAGTTTTACATGTAGGGTTCGAAACTTGGACCTCCTTTTTACGTCTTTGGCTGACTATTCGGAATGCGTCGTGAGTAGCACGTCCACGAGTAGTTTCTGACAAAAATTGGCAGCAGTAGACAACGGAATAAGGGAGTTCGAACTAGTGCGCGATACCTGCGCAGCTTTTCACCAATGATAAGTTTAGCGAATGTGAATGTGAAACCCACTCGAACAGCTTTGTAGCGAGTGTTCCACTGTTATTTGTGTCGAACCACGGAATGTCCTGGCGCAGGATGGCCTGTACGAATTTCCGTCGAATTCGGTTGCTCATCTGCTCGCACACGATCAGAAAACAAGTCACCTGAACTACTGTGGTTTATCCATGACGTAAAGCACGTTAAACCCGTTGTGTCAAGGGCTCTGGAGACGTTGCGGACATTTTTGCCAATTTGCTTACAGGCAGAAGCAGATGTGGTGGAAGAAGATCTCTGTGACGATCCTCCACTCTCAGTTATAAGCGCTGAGCTAACGATAAGTGTGGGCATACCGAAGCATATCGATGGGAATCATATCAAATACGGCACCCATCACAACGAGAATTCCGTCCCTTCTTCTTTTCATGGAGAATCCTATGAACAGAACAGAAGAACAATAACCTGAATATTTGCAGCGATGAATATTCCGCAAGCCATAGCGGTGTACCCGTATACAGCATTCATTGATATCATGTTGGAAAGTTGTGTCATTATAGTGGAAAGATGGTCCTGAAAACATTAAATGACATTAATTATCAGAAATTATCATTGTGCTTCTCATGTATGAGTGATTGATGTCTACAATGCGTAGGAGGGACCATAAACACTCCTACGAACTTATAGTTAACATCAGTAAAGGCGGTGTCAGGAAGGGCGCGGGAGGCGGGGGCAGTGGGGGGGGGAGGGGAGTGGTCCGACCACGGCTGCGACTTCTTTCAATAGCGATCAGGTAGTGATCGATTCAAGAAGAGAACAACCAGTAGTGAGAACGCCGCTGGTGGGCTCCTCCCATGCCTCCTTGAATTTAATTATTTGAAAAATTCGACAGCAGCTGAAGTTGTTGCAAACTCGTGCGCAACCCTTACCATTCAAACTCCATTATTTCGGTCAGCAGCGCATTAAACAATCGGTATAAACACTCCTTATCCCCGGGTGGGAGTAGGCCTGGCATTTGAACATTGCATAGAACGGGTTGCTCGTAGGTTATTTCAACTTGAGACAGCTGTCATCTGTTTTCTGCGCTGACAAAGACATGACAACAATTATCTTAAAAATGAAAATATTGTACCAAAAGCACAGCCATCCCCACTTGCTATTGGAGTCAGCAGCCATGCACCCACCACAGTTTGGGGATTTCGAGTGTACACTCGCTCCTACTCCTGGGAACGAAAGGAATGACAGGGCATGGTCTAGAGCCAGCCAGACCGCCCACCACAGTTCGAGGATTTCGAGACAGCCAGACTGCCAGGGAGACAGCCAGACCGCCCAGCACCGTTCGGGGATTTCGAGACAGCCAGACCGCCCACCAGCGTTCGGGGATTCTCTAACACTCATCGCTTGATGAGCCCTCAACGATAAGTGGAAAAGGCTGCCTTGGCTGCGCTCCAACTGAGCTTCTTTACACGCCCTCTTCTGCAGAGATAATACCTGTGTGTAATACACGGACATGGGAAAGCAGTACAAGCCACAGTGTAGCACATGGAGCCGTATTGCGGAAAAGGTGTGCTCTTAGTGTCTGAATAAAGGAAAAAGGAGGAGCCCTCATGACTATGCCTCTCTCAATGGTGCACATCCTTCTGAAATATCAAAACGGAAGGTCACTCTCAGTGGAGAAGGATCAAAGTTGGTTGTCTGTGCATGCCAGTTGAGCATGACGTATTCTGAAGAGGTATTTGATCTAAATTCCGGCATGGCGAATCTCTTGGTATTATTTGCGCAGGAGGTGCGAGCAAGGTGTTCCAGTGCGGGATCAGAGCCCATAAAATGTGCGCTGAACGCCCCTGACTGATCAGCGTATTCCGCACAGGGTCGATCCATTCAACCAGGCTCTATATAGAATGAGTTCAAATTTGGCAAAGTCTGCTAACCTGGAGTGGTGTTTGTCTTGAACATTTCCTCGTTCACAAAAGCTTGAGTGACTTGTCCTTGCAGGATGGACATCAATGGTAAGCCAGCTCCATTCACAAGTGAGACACCTATGCCGACGAATAACAGCACCAGTTCTGTCCATGTTGCATACCGGAACTTAAATGAAGTAAGTGAAAAGGAAGTCATTTGACAGCAAAAGGGAAAACAGGGTCAGGCCAGAAGCAACTGATTGATGTCACAGGGTCGCAAAAGATCTACTGTGCAGGGCACAGTAGCGAAAAAACTTGGAACAAGCACGAAAATGTTGTTTTCAATTGAGTAAGCCCATTCTAGAGTTGTAAAGCTCGGAAAGAACGGAGGACTATAGAGTGTGATAAGGAAGTGAAAAGCCTCGGAAAAAAAGCACTCAGATAACCTCAACTCCTACTTCGATAGATCAAAATAGGCCCGTGTAAATTGTAATAATTGATCCTGCAAACGATAGGGCGTATGAAGAGGCGTAAGCTGGAATGCAGCCAGAACATCTTCCCCGCCAAATTGTTGCGGACTCGGAATGGAATCATTGGCGGAAAATGCCGCCTTGCCATTCTCCACCAATGGTGACATCCCAAGTCCCCATCGCTCCAATTCCACCCCGTGTCGCACGCCCTATTGTTTTCAGGGAACATGGCTGTCCACATGGATCCATTTGCACTAAGAAACCCTGTAGCCACGTCCTAGTGCAGGGCTGAATGCATAATTCGTTAGCCATATTGGGCGCTGTTTGGCGACGGGGAGGGGGGGGGGGGCATTTTGCACTTTAACGACTTCCCATCGACGTGTCGACCCATCTAGACAGCCTCTTCTCGAGTTGACAGGTTTTACCATGATGGCTTGACGAGCTTGCTCCAGCTTCACAAGAGTTCACAGGTTTCACCAGAGTGAGACTTGTAAACCAGAACCAGTGAAGCAACGAAAGTGCAAAATGCCCCCCGTCGGCAAACTGCGCCGCCATCTTGATATCCTAGGCAGGCTTACTCACCAACTGTAGCAATGGTACTTTTTTCGATGCCTCCTCCTTATCGGCGTTTTTCTCTTTTTCCCTGAATTAATGGAAAGTCAACTCCAGCGTATTGATATAATAAGAAAATCAAAGCAGAAGCAAAAAAAGAAAAAGTCGCTCTACAGTCGTCCGCAGGCCCTATGTAGTAGTTGGTTCAATTAGAGCACAACGATCTTTATTCACTGAAAAATAAGGTGAACCTACGAGGCTTCCTTCAAGTGATGACAGGACAAACTCCCATTTGGGCGTGACGCGTAAAGAAGTACGATCCCCACCCACACTTACCAACCCCGCCCTACTTGGTTCTAAATATGGTCCACAGGATAAAAGTTCTCATTGCAGCATAACACGTGCATAAAAGTGAGACTCTAAACACGTGCACATGCTGAAGGTCCAGATCACTCAGCTCAAAGTAAAGGCAGCCTTGTGCGTTCCCAGGGCGAGAGGGGGGAGCCTGGGGTTAGCAGCACTATGGTGGAGTCTACGCTCCTTTACTTACCTCCATATTCAGTCCTTGAGGTGGAGGCGGTGTAGTGACAAGTGGCGCCTGGGACACGAACCGCGCAGGACCGCGCGAGCGGTGCTTGGTTTAGAACTTCAGGATCGACACCCGCACCAGGCCAACCATATCCCCCCCACCCCCCCCCCCGCCCCCCCCCCTTCTACCCTCTACCCTTCGGGAGACGGTAAAGTTGGTGCCAGGCTCGTCTGCGAGGATAACACTGACTTGTACATCGGCTGGCCCCCGCAAGTCATCATATAGGCCCCATCACATTCAATGCCACTGCGATTCTGAATGGAAGTAGAGTGCGTGCCGCATCCCACAAAGGGGTTGATTAACGGCGGAGGCTTTATCCATTTTATCCTTCATGCAGTCTTTATCCCTGCGAACGAGGAGGCATATGAGGGGCGTTTTTCACCAATAATGCCATCCTGAGTCTGCAACAATCGGTCAGAACGGCTCTCCGTCTGTGTCTGTACTCCCACTCCCTCTCACAGACCCCTCTAGTTTGCAGGGGTAACGACTGGAATGATCCATCGATAACAAGTTGTCTCCTCTTCAGCGCACTGGTCTAGAACTCTATTTCGGAAATCTCTCTAATGAGGCCACGTCGCACGTTGGGAATTCCAATGAGGACGTGCCGGTTGTTCGCTCGAGGGAGGAGGAAAGGGGGGAGTGGGGGTCGCAGTCGCCTTGTGCCCTATACCTTTCCCCCTCCGCTTGACGATGACGGTACTCTTTTGCAGAGAGTTGGGAGATTCCTCGGAGCAGGAGATGATTTCTACCAGAGCGGGAACTTCTGAACAAGGGTTCCACTTCGCGAAAACCTCCCCCAACAACAGATGTGCCCTGATCTCTGCAGACTTCCACGCTTTGCTTGCATAAAGTGCGCAGGTACGGAGAACTTGTCGCAAGGCCGCCAGGGCTGTCTTACTGACGGATTCTATTTTTTTTTGTTTTTTTCTTCCCTGGAAACTCACTCAGCGACTATAGATTAGAAAATGGAAGTCGTTTCTCACAATAAGCGATCGCGTTATCCTCTTTCAGCGGGATCCTCTTTCAAAGGCAGATTTGGCGCTCAATCGGTGTCTAGGACTCCTTCCTTGCCAAAATAGATTGGTGCATGATCATGGAGTTTTCCTTTTTAGCAGCTCCACAGCGATTGACGAGTCCTACGCTGCGGCCGTCATAAGGTGCAGTTATACATGATCAAGGCACGTCCTGCCCCCTTCCCCCAAATTCGTCTTCTGCTGCGACCCTCCTCTCCCCGTCCTACCTACTGTCTTGCCTCTTCCGCTAACCCAACTTTTTCCAAGATTCTTACAACTGAAATTTCTAACAATAAGTTGTTTTCCAGCGAGCGGGGATGGGAGAGGGGGGGGGTTGAATTATCCCAAAAATGTAAATGGCGCCCGTGAAACAGGACAAATGGTCTCAGAAAAAATTTTCTCAGACCAGATTGACCTTTCCTTCTTCCAGCGGCCAAATACGACCCCCACCCCCTCCCGCTGGGGATTCCCCAGCGTAGAACGTGCCCTGTATATGATACCGTACAATACAGATTGGACGCCGCAGTCTTTAAGACCGACAACTTTGTGCCAAAGCATTACAATAAAGCAGTAATAAAAAGACAACTGACAGAACTTTTAGACTTCATTACTTTCACACAAACTTATCTGAAAACTATGTGATTGCTTATCAGTGAAGGAGAGTCATCAAAAGTTTTAATACCTTCAACTTATCTATTTTTCTGAAAACCTCTGGTGGCGAGCTGCTAATAAATCGATAAGATGCTTCGCGAAATGCGGCGACAAGCCTCTTTCTCCAGACACGATAACGTCGCCATTTCGGTGTTTCGTTTCTATAGATAAGCTAAATGGCAGTGGTATAGACGGTGGGCACCACAAACTAACGACCAGAACACTTTTCTTGCATCGAGACAACGACGTGGACTGCTCCCGGCCACTCTGGCTCCAAAATATCTGTCTTGCGACTTATATCATGAGAACGAGGAAACTATCCTCTGTGAGAAAGCAGAGGCTTTGGAGGGGAATGAGGATGGCCTCCAGATGATAGAGGACAACAAGGAGTCCTTCAGCGAGTTCAGGCAGACATCTACAATTAGACATAGTGACCCCTATTTGTCCAGAACACAAAAAACAGCTACGTTCGGCTTGGGAGGGCACATTGCCCTTTCGCTAGTTCCGTTTGCTGATTCCCATCAGACTGGACGTCTCAGCTTGGTGAGATCTATAGACCCTTGCAACGAAAATCCTGCTCTTGCATAGCTTTATTGGAGTTTATAGCTTTCCAGAAGAGGCATTGGCAGCAGTTAATAGCAAAATGCCCTTACTAAGTAACCGCACAAACTTTCCTAGTGGACCTTTCGAAACCAAATTAGTTACTCCGTGACCCTACTGACCCTTCTTCTTACGAGGTGGTACACAAATTTACTTTAATAGGTCACTTTGTTACGGACCAGAACACTTAAGGCTCTGAGGCCAGTGCAATTGAAAGGATAAAACCCGACCAAATACGTCCACGTAAGCGAAAGTACATGTGCTTGGACACTATCACCTGCACCATTTCACATTTCTTGATGGTAAGCTCGCATATCTGCTCCTAAAAGGGCGACCTTTGGCGCCTGTTCGGCTTGGGAGGGGCATAAATTGCACGTCTCACCTCGTCGAGACCTATAGATTCTTTCAAAGCCGATGTTCTGTAGGAAGGCCCAAATCTAGCTAGAAGCATGCTCTTGTAATGTTCAAATCCTGCTTAGCCGGATCGCAAATGTCTAATTCCCTTTAGGAAAAAATTGTCATCAAAAATTGGTAACGGTTCTGATACAGAGCACAGCTCTAAAAACAACAAGCTCTGTCGTCACTCCGTGATTTGTCGCTATCAGATTCCAAGAGTTTCCCTCTTATCACAACCTTCCCACCGTCATAGTGCTAACAACTGATATAAACAACAGGTTCCTTGTTTTTTCGGCAAAAATAAAAATAGTTATAAGTTGGGTGACGCTGATCAAGCTCCTCCTTTTTACAGAATTGTGAAGGTACCCGGAAGAATCCTCGAAATCTGTCGCCTCTATCAATTTTAATCTTTTCTGTGGTCCAGGAGAAAACGCTCCGAGTTTCTGTCACAAGCCTGGCATCCAGGGCCCCACAAGTAACAATAGCTCAGCCATCAGTAGAAGCTCGGGAGTTCTTACGTCAAAGTAGATACCCTCGTTTATGTATTGAAGATAGGTTAATCCATCGAAAGGAAGGTTTTACAGGCCTCGCGGAAAACCTGTACATTCATGTGGATCCTGACCCCATGTGTGAGGTGAGTAGGTCCGCAGCTGCAGACGCGCTACTTTCTTAACAGTAATGGGACTATAGACTTGTTACAGGGCTTACTCCGGACTCCAACCCCCTCTACCGCACGGCCACAAACAAGCCCAACCATGGCCAAACGCGCTACTTGTCTGCGGACTCTCACTTCTAGTGGTTCTCTATCGCTGACTGTGTGTGCGCTGGGTTTTTGGTATCGACGCAGCTGTTGCACCTCGTGGGCGGTGTTCTACCTAGAAAAGCGCGGGCGGAAACAGGAAACAGCACCCGGGGATCACCACCCTCCAGCCTCGGGCCTGTGTACTTCTGATGGTGAGCGGAGAAAGGCACGCGCTGCCGCAACTGCAGACCCATTATATCCCGCACTTGGCGAGGACCGTCCTCAGAGTCCAGATGGTCTTTAACCTGATTTATCCAGTGAAAGCGCTCGTATGTGCAATATAAAGCATGCCCCAAAATTACCTCATTACATAAAGATTAGGAGAACTCGTAAGTAAGGGAAGTGTGGAATAAATGAAGACGTGGCCGAGGAAGCCAGTTTCCCCTGGGGGTACGAAGATTCAACAAGTAGCCGCTGGTTATGCCTAGTTCCGCAGTCTTCTTTGCGGGACCTACCCTTCAGGTGCTTCCGTCCTCTACTCTTCAAGGATAAGGCCAAGCTTCTTTGGGAAGAAATGCAGGGACGTGATTGAGTAGGCTTTCCCATGCTCCCCCCCCCCCCAAATATGTTATTGTCGGGCAATTAACCTCGCGGACTGTCTTCAAGGGTCTCCGCTCGTTAGTTGTGAAATGCTGGATCAGAACACCCCAGAAAGTAAAGTATGATGACTGTGAACTTAGCGCAGTATTACCCTAAGTCCTGCAAAGAGTCTACGAGCACTCTGACCTCAGCTGGTTAGCGACGGAGAACGGTGATGCGCAATCAGCGAGTTCTCGGTGAGTCATAGCCGTCAAGTAGGGTAACTAGCCGCAATTGCACACACTATTTTAAAAAAATCCTTCCTCGGACTTCTTTTATAGTCCGCTTGTTGCCTTCATTCTACCTATAACCTTTATCTTTCCTTCTTCTTTACCGGGAAACCCTCTCCGATATTTCCCCTGTAATAATTTCGATGTACCTATTGACCCTACATGAGTCGCCATCTATTAAGTAGTTTTTTTTCTTAATCGGTCTGATTTCCCCATTAAAAGTATTCCCAGCAATCATCAGTAATTCTTGAAATTCACGTACTGCAGAGGTGATTATGCCACCGAAAAAAGCAGCACCCAAGAAAGGAGGAGAAAAAGAGGAGGCTCCAAAAAAAGAGGCCAAGGGAGGCACTGCAGTGAAAGTTCGACATATTTTATGCGAAAAGCAGGTCCGATCCATTCGTTTTATTGCCCTTTTTTTCTTTTGGATGTTTTCCTTGTTGTTTACTCTTTTTTCCAGAGATAACTTCCAGAATTCCAGAGTAAAGCTCTAGAAGCCATAGAGAAATTGAAATCTGGTATGAAATTCCATGAAGTTGCTGCTCAATACAGTGAAGACAAAGCGCGGTCCGGTGTAAGTATTGAGACTATAAGCGAGGCTATATTTAACTTTTTCGACTTCATATTTCTCTCGTGCATCACGGAGTTTGTTCAGGGCGATCTTGGCTGGATGACCCGAGGTTCAATGGTAGGGCCGTTCCAAGATGCGGCTTTCGATTTACCGAAAAGCACATGTGACAAGCCAATCTACACCGATCCACCGATTAAAACCAAGTTTGGATATCATGTGATTATGGTTGAGGGGAAGAAATGATTTTTTTATGCATTCTATGGTTGTTCCTCCAGTTTGTTCTATTTGATTTCCTGTAAATATCACTTGTTCTCTGACTGTAGGATGTCAGCCTTTCCAAGTCTTCGATATGTTCTTGTTTTGTCAAAGTTATTCACAAATAAATGGTGGTAAACTCTACCCTGTTAAAAAGATTTAAAGGAACGACACGTCGGGTCACAAACGCGCTGCTTGCTTTGTAGTCATTGGTATTTTGCCAGCTTTATTTACTTTCGAATTATGCCTGATCATTTTGTGTTCTCTATTTCTGTACTTTTTTGAGATCTTACCATTCCTCTCAGGCCAGTGAACTTTCCTTCTGCTTATACCTCACTCTTTCTGCCGAGAAGCTGCTTTTTATCAACGTAAGGTGTGACTAAGCCTACATTTTGTCGTTTCGAACGGAATACCACTTGTTTAGGAGTCCAGATTGAACCAAAAGAGCCACGATAATCTTTATGCGTTTGGAACATCTCTCTAACGTGTTAGTGAGGTTCTAAATTTTCGTGAGCTCGAACGTCTTCAGTTCCTGTTCTTACAACCTCCTATTCCCTTTCCTGATCCTTTGCTATTTTTTCTCATTGAGTCCTGAAAGTGAAAATTTTGAGGTAATGGACCGGTCCGAAGAGGTCATGGATATGAACTCATCAGAACCTCAACCTCCACCAAAAATGAAGATTTCCTTTGGTGTTAAACGAACTGCTCCTGTAAAACTTCAAGAAACCATAGCAACTGCCATTGACGGTGAGTACTTACACGCATTGTCTGATGGTTCTTCTTTTTTGTATTTCTTGGTTTTGTTTCCAAGTTCTATCGGTCCACCTCTTATCCTTTTTTCATTTTTTTTGTTTTGATTTTTCTCAGTTGTTAACTAGGGTTAGGATGCATGCTTTTGAAATAGCTTGTAACCTTGTGAAAAAGCCCCATAAAGCTACCTTTCTTACCCTGGAAGTGGACTTCTTACCGCGGAAATGGGGTGGGCGGGTCTGCGCACTTCGTTTGAATGTGACTTAGGATGCGTATCTCTTCTGAGACAATCGTCTACGTGGGATGTTAGGTATTTGGTCGAGTACTAATGAATCAACTTCCACCCTTTCAGGCTCTGAAGAAGGTGAACTCACCGAAAGTCGGCCAGCAAATAAAATTTCTTGCCAACCTTGTGTGGAGTTAAGCAGCAAATAACCTTA